GATGAAAAGCACTTTGATTTCTGTCATAACAAGCAAGATCAAGCCTGCCTTACTACTCTCTAAAGGCCCGGTAACTGTGAGCATGTATATCTGTAGGTAAAGGATGGGGCACCAGATTGCTATTAGCACGTTGTGTATTCCTTGATTACTTCCTTCCCCCGCTTTATTTCTCATAAAATGTTTCGTACCTATCACGTGATCGACTTCCTCCACATTAATCTTCTCAAACTCAGTTTTGTTCCAGACATATTTCGAGTTCTGGTGTTTATTGACCCACTCTTGAATCAGGTCTCTGCCATCCAGTCTCTCTCCTTTTTTATCCGGGTATTCCGGATCTGTCTGATTCTTGTGCATGAGTTTCCTGCGGCCGCCAGCGAATACAACCTCGATGCCATCTCCATAGGGATACTCAACAAGTTGTAAGGCTGTAATTATAAAATTAACAAAGTCAATTGCTAACAGTCAAATCAAAGCAGTCAATTCAAAATCAAATGAAAACAGTTAAATTAAATCAATTTCAATCAATGCGAACATTCTGTACGAATCGCAGTTTTATACAAGTACCTGGCTTCAGGCTGGGAAAATAAAAAACACCATGAAATTATAACTGGCATGCGCACACTTTTGAATCGTTACCACTCTTACACAGTCCTCTACTCACTGATGGTACTTGATGGCCTCATGTTTATCAGTTCATTTTGTAACAGTATACATAAAGCAGTAAAACGTTTAACGACAAATTTCTCCTTTTTGCTAAAGAAAAAAGAACACTCTTTGATCTAATATTGCCTAGTTTACTATAATTGAAATCTGACAGTGTCACTTACAAGTACAGACAGGAAAGGGGCTGACCTAGCTCGTACGCCGTTTCCCTTCAACGGGCTAGGCACGCGTACGGTAATAGTTAGAAAATGCCTCTATTTACAATGAACATGCATAAAGCGCATTATTAGAATTATTAATAAATCACATTTCAATGCTAATGCTCTCCCAAAGAATTCAATTCCTTTTTTACAATACAAGGAATTCCCAGGCCTACCGTCTACCGTATTGTCGAACAAACACTAAGAAGTTCTCGCCCTTTTTTTAAGGACCTACGTTGTTTGGTTCACTTGACGACGAGGTCTTCAACTCTCAATCTCTTTCCTCTTTTAGGAAAATACTAAAGATTAAATTATTAAGTAAGTATGAAAAACGATCATAAATTTTTCCAACTTCGACTTTTCTCCACCTTTTCTCCAATTGATGTTAAACAGCTCTAGCCCGTAGTTCGAAGAGGCCTAACCTCTCATAAGCTCCTATAGTTTCTGTTAGGTCTCCTCGTCACTTCTTTTTTCTACTTTTTTTTATAGCGGAGCTCTGGCGCGCGAAGCGCGCCTGCGGAGCACCATGGGTAAGTAAATCTACCCATCCCAGAAAATTTGGTAATCACGTGACCGTACACCGCCCGCCCGTCCGTCCGCACCACAGGGAAACCAGTGTTTAATCCTCACACTTTCCAGCCAGTTTGGGAGCACAGGAAGACTGATATTGCACACATATATTGCACATCAATGTTGTGATCAATTGACAGCTGTCAAAACAGGGTATCCGCTGACCAGGATCACCTGACCGTATCGCGGGCTCAGGTGTCGACCCATCGAGGTCGATATCTTTTTGAAGTTATCCGCTGACAAGTAACTTGTTTTCAAATGATCGCAGGCTCAAGTTTATTTTTTTTAATTCATATGAAATATGTTGTGTTTTGTATGTGCCGCACAATTAAAATGATTTCAAACTGACCTAGGAAGCTAAAATTCAGCCAGTTTTACAGGCAGGGAAGACATGCCAGTTGCTTTTGACTTTCCTCACCAAGGTCACGAGTTGGTCACGCTCTACGTCCAATTTTTATGCTCTGATTGGTCAAAATTTGACAGGTGAGTTCATGCGGAAAATTTTGCAGCATCTTGAAACTTGTTTACTTTGCTGAAGCTGACAGAGTTTTGTGTCAACTTGTGATGTTTTTAACTGTCTTTTTCCACTGAATGTACAAAATGAAATTCAGCTGCTATCAAGAGTCTTCTGTTATTCATGGCTAGTTTGTTTACTGGATTTTTGGTTGAGAGATACATCGCTTGTCAACGTCGGAAATCCGATTTCGGATGGCATCGTTTTCGTTTTTCACCTTGCTGGATGCGTAAGAGGGTTGAAAAGTCTGAAGCGATTCTGGCCTTACTTAAATAGTTTTCAGTGCATCTTGAATGGTTAGCCCGAGTAATTATTGTATTTGACGTTTGTTTTTTACATCTAATTTAATGAAGTCGAGCGTAGTTTATGCGGCTATTTAGTTTATTCACGTTTTTAATGGTAAGATTTGAGACAATGATCTGACCGAGTATCAGGTTTGATTGTAAGCTTATAGAACTTTAAAAAGCCTTTAGACATTTTTTCACCGCAAATAGAAAGAAAACGTTCCAAACAATATTTAGTTATAATTCTGGCTGTAAAAGAAAGCTTTGAGCGATTTTCTTGCCTCGAGTTCATTTTTGAAAAAGCAAACACCGGGAAGCCGGCTTACAAAATGAAAAACATAAACAAGGATTTTCAGAGACACTTTAATACTTGTCTTCGTAAATGAAAATTGTTGTCACTGTATATGTTTCACCGAATTATTTTCCTTTTATTGATTGTTAGTATTCTCTTTTGCAATTTTTATCGCTGTGCCGTTTGTTTTCCGTCGCTCATGAACATCGCTTGCATGCAGGAGTAGTCAAAATGCCGCGCGTACCAAACGCTTTTGACGATTAAACATCGTTATAAAACCATTAAATAAAAAACAAACATAATAAATTCTTTATTATGTTGAAGCGTATAACTCTATTAATTATAATTTAAACAGTCGACTTTGGCGCTTGTCAAAAGTGAGAACCGGCTAGCCGTATAGGTGATTTTGGAAATTTTTTTAACGGTTTCGCTAAAAAGCCCACACGTGCTTTGATCGTCCTGAATATTGAGTGAGTGCAATTTTTATTGCAAAATTGTGAAATACTGCATTCTGTCCGAGGTCTGTATGATAAAAACAGCGCCTCATGGTACTGTTTCACCTCAGATGCCGGTGATGTATAAAAAGTATAAAAGGTTAGGTTATACGTCCCCAGACTTGTTGGCAAGATTTTGTAAAGTAAACTTGTCGAACACAAAACATTCGGCCTGATTTGTTTTCCAAGAATTGTTTTCCAGGCCTAATCTACTGTGATCAAGAGCCCGCGCTCTTAAATGTGATCGAAGATGATTGTTATTTTTTGGGCCGTACATATAAGGCTATCAACTCGATGTAAGATTAAGTTCACTCTTAGCTTGGACTGTTTGCAAATTACTTTTCTCTAAAATCACTTAACCCTTCCCTCAAAAGTCACATGAATGTGATCTAAAGTTAACTGAATTGTGGGAAACAAGTTTATTGTTTGATTTAAATTATAAATTCGAGTTAATATATAGGAGCTTCGCTTTTAGCCCTGGCTAAATCTATTTAGTATATACACACTCAGTGATCTTGGTAATTCAAGCAATCTGATTGGTTAGCTATCTCGGACTATGACGTTATATTCACCGCGCTAGGCGGTGAATATAAAGCCGAACAAAATCGCTGTCGTGAACTGGGTGTTTTGCCAAAGTTTCAAAGTAAAACCTTTTTGAAAATACACGAATATCCAAGTGCTGGTGACGTTGAAGGCAAGAAAAGACTTCATGGTGTTTAAACAGCGTGATTTATTGTGGAGTGGTTTACTTTAGCTGACTTTTTGTACGCTCGAAGCTATGTTTACCACTACAGAGGAAAACGAGGTCGCTTTGTCACTGCATGTTTTGTGATTTCGGGATTTTCTCGCAAGACCAATTTTGCCTATAAATAGAGTTAATTTATGGAGAAGAGAGGAAGGCAAATATTTCCAAAAATTGTACATGCCAGCAAGTTAACACGGCAAAGAACTTTGGAGATAATCAACGCTCACCTTGATCACAGCCGCTGTTGACAGCATTTGCAAGAAGCGGCGAAGAAAACTTTCTCATTCACTGTGAGTTGACGGAAACAAATAAAGCTCTAGATACTTTTCTTCTCAGAATTGGGTAGTAATTTAAATTTTCGGCGTTTTCTTTTAAACCGTTGATGCTAAAGCTTACAAAACTCGATACAAAAGGATTAAAACTATCATTTGCCATGTTTGAAGATACTGTAAAGATCTAACTTTTGCGCATTCACTGTTTACGGCTTCGTGTTCACGCATGAATTTTCACCCGTCAATCAAACTAATCGCTTTTTAATGGTTTCCTTTCTGATTCTGTTGAGATCACTTCGTGTGAATATACTAATATATTAACTTCGCCTTCGGCGAATAATTGTTAAATATTATTACTTGCAATTTCTATTATTGTTTGGCAAATAAAAGATAAGAATAATAAAAGTAAAAAAAATAAAACACTCCTACCTATGTCCTTGCACTTGGAACCATCATCCCCAACACTCTTCTTAATATTGGCGTCACTTTCCCAACCACGGTTTGCTGAGTGAGCATATGAACACGCGGGAGTTGCGTGTGTAACTCGCGTGGTGGTGACGATTCCCGTTGACATTCCAGCCTTCTCCGCAAGCGTGAGAATGGAGACAGCTTTGCTCTGTTCGGTCAATGAAGAGCAGTGAAATCGGGTAACTGTTGAATCTACAGCAATGACGCCTAAGGAAATATTTCAGATTATGAAGGAAATGAAAATTTTGGTGAGAATACGAAGATTTTAATTTTAGCCTCAAATTCTCGAACACTTGAAATGTGATACTGCGTCAAGTGGCCATGATGGGTCTCTCGATTGCATTTAATATTGCTCACTACTTGTACATGTTTCTTTTGAAGCAACTACGTCCTGCAATATCTCTTGCTGCAATAAACGTAACATTCGCGCTGCGGTGTTAACCTTGTTCACAGCACTCGTGTGAATTAAGGAATGGGTCTCCTCAACTTAAAAATATCCAGCGTTTGGGTGCCAATATAAGTTTGAGGATCCCGGTTAAGTTTTAAACTTACCGTCGTTGGTTTTTATTCCTGTCAGGAATGCTGTCGCGGAGCTCGCAGAATCTGTTCCCTGTTGATCAACTGTGTACGTTTTAGCGAGAGCTGACCACGGAAACACTTCCCAGCTCAGAACATTCTCCTCTCCCGTGTTTCCCTTCTGTTGTCCGTCCAGGATTCGGGTCGCGGTGATGGTAGTGATACCCATTCCATCACCGAGGAACAAAATAGCGCTCTTAGCGGTGTTGGTGTTTGGTTTTAATTTTATGTTGTCCTCGACAAGCTTAACGCCAGCTTTATACCATTCGTTGTTGTTTTGATTCCGAAAAACGTCACCTTGGACACCTGAGAGATATTTAAGTTGATACCTTAATTCTTTACAGCCTGCGCACGTGCGCGTGGCAGACTTTTAAAGGGGAAGGGAGATAAAAAGGGAAAATTAAAACTTATTAATTGTTGTCTTGATTCCGAAAGATGTTCCCATTACAACAACAGCCACAGCAACGAACAACAAATTTTATTAAAAATTGGAAAATAACTAATTACATTACTTTCCCACCCGCAAATAGCTTATAAACTAATCGAGGCGGGGGGAGCTGATTCAGAAGACATATTACAAAACAAGATTTAGATATAGATGGACTAAATAACAGTGAAGACACTACTATGCAGTAAATAGAATTTAAACTAACATAAAACAAGGCACGTACGTAACGATTACGAAGAGAGGCTAACCTAAAGTATTAAATAATTTAATAAGACGGGAGACTTCGACATAATCATCTTCTAACCGCAAGAAATTTAGTAATAATTCCTTAATTGTTTTACAAAAGGACGAACGGTTAAGTATTTTTATCGAATAAGGAATAGAGTTCCAAATTTGGGCACCGATTCTCGTGAAAAAGGCATACATTTTATAGGTTGTAGAGAACTTAACATAAAACGAGTCGCTAGAGACAGATCTTGTTCTGTAGTTATGAATCTGACTTGTTTTAACCAACTGATTGAGCATACTAACTGGTGCTGTCTGTCTGTTGATATCATACAATAAATAGCTACAATCTCTGAAAAATAGGCTAGGCAGGGGAAGGCAATTTGATTTGAAAAAGATTAGGGTTATTGACACCTGGGTAGATAAAACGGACACGAACACTGAAAAGTTGTTACCTGAATTCTTCGGCATCCTTTTAGCTCTCATTGTGTGCCAAACCGAAAATTTATAATCCAGATTTCTTATTTCAATCATGTAATTTTACTTATCACAAACAAGCGGTAAAGTACTTCAAAATTATAAAGAACTGCCCAAGATATTTTCCGTAAATGATCAAACGTATGGCGCTACCATCCCACTCGGTCTTGCCTTTGGTCTCGTGCTATGGTTTCCCAACCCAGTGACCTTTTTCCTTAAAAATAAGTAAATATGCCATTTCCTCGTTTGCATAGCGAAAATTAACGCACAAAAATTACGATGAAACCGAACGGAGTGACGGTGCGTTTCAAACTATCAGTCAATAAAGAAATTTCAAGTCACGTATTTTACGGCAAACGGTAAACGGCAAACGTAAATTTGTACTTTGTGACCAAGTTTCTACCCCCAAACTAGTTTTTTCACGTTCGCTTTGCCTATAAAAATTATCGGACTGTTTTTAGCTGGACGTTTTTTGTTTTAAGAAATTCTAAACTTGAATCCGAAGTTTGTCGTAAACGCCACCGTAAATCTCTATAATCAGTCAACCAGTCATGATTGAGTATGATTTGGAAGCCCAAGAAATTGACTTTGAAGTGGAAGGCGCAATATTTCAAGGAAGCTTAATGACTCCACTCTAACAAGACGCTCCTTTCGCATTGCATCTGATATCAACGGTTTCAGAAGCGCGAAAACTGATATTGTAGCTCGAAGACCACTTAACAAAGTATATTGCTTTCTCAGAGATTTTTTTTCTAACTAACCTTATAATGATAATAATAATAATAATAATAATAATAATAATAATAAATATGAAACTTATATTGCGCATATTCAATAGAAATACTTTTATTATGCGCATTACAAACGATAAGTTAAAATAAGTCGATTAAAAATCTATCTTAAAAAAGTACTTTTTGAGAGTTGTTTTAAAAGGCCTAAGTCTCTGAATGTTGATCTCCGGAAGACTGTTCCACAGTTTCGGAGCCGCCGACTGAAATGGTTGGGTCACAAGTGCAGGTAGGCACCGCGTTGGCTGGTACCAACTACATATGATCAAAGACTTAATAAGCCTTAAATGATATTATCTTTACATAAGTTGTCAGTTACTGAGCAATTCTTCAGGGTGCGTTCGATTGATCGTATTCTGGAATCAGGGAACACGCAAATGTCTTGTTGCAAATCTTTTCTACCGTGCTTTTTGGCCAAGTAAACGCTACAGTTATCGGGATATCTTATTTCAAGCAGATTTCTTGTTCTTGCAAAGCAATGAACGCCAAAATTATGGATTTCAAGAGTCATTTCGGAATACGATGTAATCGTACACGCCCTTGACAAGTCGTCCTCATATATATATATACAGTCTCTCACCTGCTATCCCTGATAAAACCGTAAAAACTACTGTAAGAAACACGATTAGAAACCTTACTGTTACGGAACATTTCATAACAAATCTCCTGGTGAAAGCACAATTCGATCGCTTGCTGATTTGACGTTTACGATAATATGCAGTTGCGCACTTTTCCAACAATCATTAATTATAAATGCAAAGCCTTTTTGCATAGTTGTGACAATATAATGCGTGCATATGCTCTATTTAAACAATTATTCTTTGAAATCGAGGTGAATATAATGGCGGAACTGCTAGAGCCACTATTAACCAAAATCAGAGACGGTGAATATTGTTGAATAGTCCGAGATAGCGGACCAATCAGATTGCTTAATTCACCAAGATCATTGAGTGTGTATACTTAGTAGAATTATAGTAAGTTGTAGTGAGATATTAAAAATAGAATGTGAGTGCTTCAAATAGATAGCCTAGCAGTTATCAATCGCTCAATTACGACCTCATGAAAATTGAGAAGTATCAGAACTGTCAATTACAGACGTTCAGAAATTTTCGTGAATTATTTTTTGTTGAATAATTCGTTTTTTCTCCATTTGCCGCAAACGATGGTTGAGAAATATTTGCATCGGTGACGCAGATCAGAGGTATAAGCCTCATTCGAGTGCCGTCCGCCAATCCGAACGAAGCTTATTCACGTGCGGTTTAATAGCACTTAAAATGTCCAGTGGAATTCTGATGTGTCATCATACTTCCGTATTAGTTAAAGCATTTCAGGGGACTTAATAAATGCCATGATCGGAGATCTAACCTAAGTTACCGTGACTGGCATGTACCCGAAATTATTTGGTGACAACGCTTTTGCTTTACGCTCGCTTGACTCTTCGTCGTTGATTTCCGCTGAATTATGTCGCCTTTAAATGAAACAACTACACAATTTCAAAATCACCTTTTGTATTGGCCTCGGAGACTCCAGCCAATATGAACGCCTCACGGGGATATTATTAAGTCAGAAGGCTATTTTAAATTGAGAAAGGTGTAGTAATGTTTTGTTCGTCAATCATGCTAGAGGAGACTGGTTATGATAGCTGGCGAAAGATCGAAAATGAAAAAAAAAATCAGAAACAAAAACAAACAAAAAATCAGGTCTTGCAGGGTGAAGTTTAAAAAAGCTAGCAAAAACAGTAACAAGGAGTTTGACGGGCTTCATTACCGTTGCACTTTATTTATAACATTTGCATGCTTCTGAGAATAATCAATGACGAGGCACTCTCTAACCTAGGCAAAGTGATTACAAGTTCAAGCCAGAGATAAACACATAAAGATGACGTAGTGTATTAAACCGGTTGTTAACGTTATTTACTTTTACCGGAAGTACTGATACTTATAACACATCCCACAATACCCTGCCTGCTCTGTTGTTGGCGTTGTGATGCGTTGAGAAGCTTGTTGATTGTGTTTGGCTTCTGTTGAAATCTTGTAGCATCGTAGCGATTAAGCATTAAAATTTGGCAAGAGAATGGGATGAGAGACGACACCCTCGTAAACGTTTTAAGCGAGATTTGCATTTGTTTGAAGAGATTGTGTGATGCGATACATGAGGGATCGAATGAGAGGGAAGGTTCGGCTAGTGCTGTCCCTAACAGTAGAATTTCGACACCAGTGGCTGTAGAGGTCGTTGGCTTGCAGCTTTTCTAGTACAAGGCGATCCACAATCCTTTTCACAGCGTTGGCGAAAATGAAACAGAGCATTTGAGTTATACGTTCTCAGGGGCGGATCCAGGATTTTTTTTAGGAGGGGGTGCACTCGTCTCTTGCTCTACTTCAACACCAATAAACCACATAGTTTTTTTTTTTTTGCAGAATACCAGTTGTATTAGAAAACCGCAGGTCATCTCAGGGGGGGGTGCCCCCATGCACCCTCCCCCTAGATACGCCCCTGCGTTCTGAGAAAAGAGATCACGAGTAACTCGCTGAAACGGCTGCTTTTACAACGACATTTAGTTCATCAGCTAGGGGGGGTTGTATAGTCACTTAAGGGGAACAAACAAAACATGTATAATCTAAATCTTTGAGTAAAAAGCATCACAAAAATGCATGATAGCAAGGATAGGATGGTAGCTTTAACTTTGTTAATCGAATTTTAAATTTGCCACTTAAACCCTTGTTTTGGTCGCCATCTTGGATTTATAAACATTAACCTTTGACTCCCTCTTAATTTAAACACACGATTTTTTTAAAGAAGATTTGAACTACTAGGTATCTGAGATGTTATTTTAGCATTTTTAAATGTTAGTCAAGATATGATGACGTCATACATGACGTCACAGTGAGCGCGATTTTGCTTTTAAAATTAGCCTATTCAACTAATATCTCAATCATCTAAATAAGAAGATTGCTATTAACATTAATTAAACATTGGAAGTTTTTCTTTCACATTACAAACCAGTTTTGTGCTGAAAAAACCGCATTTTTCACCAATTCCTCTTCTTTGGACTGGTTTTCGACTAATTAGCATGGCTAAAAGAATGGCTAAAAATGAATTTTTCATCAAAAAAGGCATATTTACCGACTAATTGCTTAATCAGAAACAGCTTTTTTTGTTTTTCACGCATGCGCACAAGCAACAATTTTGACTTCATTTGCGAATGTATTTCGATCTTTCTCCATCGCTCTCTTTTTTCTTTGCCTTTCTTCCATATTAGCAATTTTCCCCCACTTTATCGTCTTTTTTTGTATAGAATTGTGGCTAGCCAAATTTTTAGGAAAGGAAAAAATTTATCTTCAAAGAGTAGCAGATAAACCGCCAAATTGGCAGTGGATTTTTCCTCAAAATGTTACCTCTTCTGTGAGTGTAGCGTTGTTAGGATTAGTCAGAATATCCTAAACGAGATATCGCTGGAAAATTTTTGTGACGTTGCTGCTTACAAATTTATTAACTTACATAAACTGAAAGCTAAATGGTCTAGGAAGGAAAACATGCATGATCATGCATGGTTCCATAAAGAGTGATAACGACCAAAGTAGTCGTCGAAGGTTTAAGGCAATCGAAATCACAATGCTACAAGAACGTGTTTAGAGCTATTGTAGGTTCGTTTTCTACGGCAAGTAAATCATACCTTTACCTTGAGGCAATGAGGCACAAATAAAAGCAGATAACTTGCTCCGGGGGGTGGGGATGTACTCAAGGGAAGTCTTGAAAGAGCTGTGTCTCCGAGACCGTCAAACCTCGACACTGTTTGAGATGCTGACATTGATTTGTTTTGTTTTACATAAAGAATCAAATAGTTTTTCAAACTAACATCGCGGAAATAGATACTTTGGAAAAAAATTATTGGTATTGCAAAAGTAAACTGCTCATCGCTAGCCTTCACAGGCTTCCAGCCCTAAAAGATGCTGCTCGCGAGAATTTAAGCTACTACGCATAGGACCCATCCATTCAACTGACAATGTTGGGGTAGAGACCACAGACCAAGACATAAGGGACAACTACAACGGTATTAAAGGCATAGTGGCCAAAGATAGAAACAGATGAAAAAAAAATATATATATATATAAGCAAAAGTTAGCTGCGGTGGCTGTCAAGCTGTCAGCTAATATTCCGCTCTAGACCCTTACTGGCACGCCCCCATCCACCAAGTGGACCGTGGCAAGACTGTGCTGCAGACATATTGGCTCCTTTGCCCTCTGGGGGCAATTTATTTGTTATAGTGGACTATTATAGCAGATATTTTGAAGTAGTTATCCTAAGGTCAAGTACAAACACAAAGGTCATAGACCGCCTGAACTCAATATACGCTCGGTATGGAGTTTCCACACACTCAAAATGGACACTGGCCTTCAGTTCGTTTCAAATCTTCCTTGTGGAAAGCGGGATATAACGCTGAACAATTCCCCCTTTGTGGCTCCAGGTGAAGGGGGAGATAGAACGTCAAAACTGCACTTTGTTGAAACCGATCCAGATAGCCCAAATTAGAGAAAAAAAAGAGATTGGTGGCAAGAGCTCCACACAGTTTTAACTGCAAACAGGTCAACCCATTGAATTACAACGGGTGTAACACGTGCGCCATTCTGCTTGATGTTCGGGAGAGAAATGCGGTCGAAGTTGCTAGAGTTATACGTGAGGCACCTATCACCAATGAGAAAATCTGTGACTGGGACTAGGCAAGACAGCTGACACAGAAAGATTACGTAAACACAAAGAGAGATACAGTCAAACTGTCAAGTGGACATAAGTTGGAAATCAAGTTTATTGAGAAACAAAAAAACAAACAAACTGTCTCCATACTACGTCCCCGTCCTTAAGAGAACTTATGATCCGACGACGGCGACGGCGACGAGAAGGACAAAAAAGCAATAGGTTTTTATAACGAAAACAACAATTTTGCACGTGCATCACGCTTTTTTGTACGTTTCTTTGCCGTCACTGCACGACTACGACGAGAAAATGCGTCATTTCACTTTTTACAGAAGAAGTACACAAGCGACGACAAAATTTCCTCTCGCTCTCTGAACTTGGAAACGGTTCTTAGGAATTCAACTTTAGGAGGATTCACCTACATTTGACAGAGTTAGTGACTTGGAGTAATCACGATGACGATTGAAAGAACTCGAATTCACTTTTTCAGCAACTTTTTCGCTGTCGTCGCCGTCCTCGATCTTTAAGGTTGATTTCCACTGACGCGTTTTTGGGTACGCACGTTAACGCACGTAAATTTTAATCACGTAAATAAAATAGAGGCAAGGTAAAAAGTGCTGAGCTTAAACGAGAGGTTGAGCGAGGTGTTACAGTGTATCATTACATTTGTTATAGTGTCAGTAATGCGTACTGAGCCCGCAGTATGTATGCGGTTACTGTAAAACCCATGTGCTCTTTGATTAATACAGTTCTTTAGTTGATCGCCATCTTGCGTGCAGTTGTCTGTTTGCCCGAGAACATAACATTTCCGGCGACGAGAAATCGAGCGACCATGCCAAGCCTCGGCAAAATAGAAGAGTTCAATTCAGCTACTACAAGCATCAATCGCTACCTAGAGCGACTGGAACAATAATTCGTGGCAAACAGCGTTCCCGCCAGCAGAGTCACACAAATGAGGAGCAATTCCTAATTTCTGTTATTGGCGCCAAGGGCTACGATGTTCTTTCGCATCTCTGCTCACCGATTCCTCCTTCTGATAAAACGTATGCACAGCTCACCACTATCCTAAAGAATCATTTCGCACTGAAGAAACTGGTTATCGCCGAAAGATACCGATTCCACAATTGTACAAAACGCGTAGGCGAGAGTGTCGCAGTGTTCGCTTCTTCAGGCTTCAACTTGCCAGTTCGGCACTCACCTGAATGAAGCCTTACGCGATCGTTTCTTCTGTGGTCTTCGCAGTAAGGAGACACAAAAGAAACCGCTAACCGAGGAACACACTTTCCATGCAGCACTGAAGGTCGCCCTCGGCGCCGAAGCTGCCGAAAAGGATGTTGCTGCGTTCTCGCAAGAAAGTTCAGCTTCTGTTAACAAAGTCGACTCTGGTAATCGTCGAAGTTTTCAGCCTACCCAACGTCGTAAGGGTCCTGGCAAGCGAGGCAAGTTCAATTCCTCTGGTAGCAACATTAAAGACCCCTCGGAGTGTTTGAGCTGCGGAAAAACAGGGAAACCACGTTCTCAGTGTAAATACAGAAACTACACATGTTATTCTTGCAGTAAGGTTGGCCACATCTCGGAGGCATGGAAAGGAAAACCTCAGAAAGTGTACCAGCTAGAAGGATCAGAACCCCCTCAAACTAGTCCTCCCGATGATTCGGTTGATCCTTTTTCTCTCTCGCTGTGCAATCTGAGCTCAGGCCAGCAAGGTATTGAGATACCCGTTGAACTGAACGGAACCTCTCTTCTAATGGAATTAGACACTGGTGGAGGCGTCTCAGTCATTTCAAAAGAAACTTACAAGAAAACCTTCAGTGGCACACCCCTCATGCCGTCCAATACTCGCCTACGTGCATACGCAGGACACCCACTCAAGGTACACGGGCAACTTATTGCACACCTAAAGTACCAACTGCGCAAAACTATCCAAAATCTCCCTAACGTTTTTAAACCAGGCCTCGGAATTGTCAAAGGAATCACAGCCAAACTAGAGATGAAACCTGACGCACGTCCAAAGTTTTGCAAGGCTCGTCCCGTCCCCTCTACTCTTCAGGAAGCTGTTAAAACTGAATACAACCGTACTCGAGTCATAAGGAATTGTCGAACGGGTGGAATTCAGTGAATGGGCTACCCCAATGGTTCATGTCCCTAAGGCAGATGGAACTACACGTTCTTGTGGTGATTATGCCGTTACTGTCAACCCCAGTTTCACGTCCCTCGGTATCCAATTCCTCTCCCGGAGGATGTCTTCTTGAAATTGCGGGGTGGACAACGTTTCACTAAGCTCGACTTAAAGAGTGCCTACCAGCAGCTCCCTTTGGATCCTGAAAGCCAGCAGTTCATTACCATCAATACGCACAGAGGTCTTTACCGCTACAAAAGGCTACCCTTCGGTATTGCGTCTTCACCCGCTCTATTCCAGCGCACTATGGACATCATCCTTCAAGGTTTAGATCACGTGGCGAGTATACAAGATGACATTCTTATTACTGGCAAGGATGACGATGAACACATTAAGAATTTAGACAGCGTCCTCAGCCGTCTAGACCATTATGGCTTGCGACTTCAGCTAAGCAAATGCAAATTTATGCAGAAATCAGTTACGTACATGGGATGTGTCATCTCTGCCGGCGGAATTTCTCCTACAGAGGAAAAAGTAGAAGCCATCAAACAAGCACCAGGCCCTGAGAACCTCACCTAGCTGAGAGCCTTCCTTGGAATGATCAATTATCACGGCAAGTTTATCCGAAACCTGAGCTCTATTCTCCAACCACTCAATCAGCTTCTCCAAGGTAACCAAGAATTCAAGTGGTCCCCCCGGTGCGAGGAGGCATTCAAAAAGGCCAAGGACTCACTCTCATCTTCAAATGTATTTGTCCATTATGACCCAAGCCTTCCTGTTATTCTTGAGAGCGATGCAAGCCAGTATGGCATCGGAGCAGTCATATTTCACCGCTTCCCTATTGGTGATGAGCGACCTATCAAGGCCGCCATGTCCTTGAACTCGTCTGAGAAAAACTACAGTCAGATCGAAAAGGAAGGTCTTGCCATTATTTTTGGGGTCGCCAAATTTTACATGTATCTCTTCGGACGCAAGTTCACTCTGCGAACTGATCACAAACCCCTGTTGAAAATATTTGTCCCGGATTCTGCGACTCCAGTTTTGGCTGCTGCTAGACTGCAAAGCTGGTCCCTTCTTCTCTCTTCGTACCACTACGAAATTGAGTTCAAGTCATCTGCTGAAGTAGCCAGCGCTGACGCCTTGTCAAGGCTCCCACTCAGGGCGGATAAATGTTGGGCGGTGAAACGAGCGCTCTGCTTTTCATCTAATGTGTGATGCGGAGTAGGACTGGCACGAACGCTCTTTCCGCGCTTCCGGTGAGCTTGAAGGCCGGCGAAATTTTCCTTTTTGCAAACCGGAAATCCTATTTTCTTTCTGTAATTTCAGGCCACAGTGTTAAAGAGATAAATTCGTTTCATAACAATATCAATAAACAGTTTCATATGTTTGTGTCTGTATGCCTATAAGTCAAACTTGTTGGTCGTATAATGCCAAAATTTGAGTTTAACTTGAAAGTGTTGAATACCTCCTCCTCCCACTAAATATCACCTAATCGTCTTTCGCCGTTTCGTTTGTAAAGGCTTCACACTTCCTAACCTCAATTTTGTTTGTTTTGTTAAAGGGGGATAAATTTTCTATAACATAACAAAAAATTAGATTGATATATTTTTATATAGTGGCGTTGTACTGCTTCAAACTTTGCTTCTCGGGTGCAACGCGCCATGGCGATTCGCGCAATGCGTCGCAAATCCGGCAACCGCATTTTAACAAAATTTATTGAGGTTAGTGGACGTCGACGTCCACTCTAAGTGGCCTGAAGTGATTGGTCGCATCAAAAACAACAACAGCCGACTCAACCATTAATGCCATGCGTAATATTTTTGCAAGATACGGTCTACCAACCCAAGTAGTCAGCGACAATGGCCCACCCTTCGAGTCTGCAGAGTATGAGGAGTTCCTGCGGCAAAATGGCATTCAGAGAATTTTAGTTTCCCCTTACCATCCCTCTTCAAATAGTTTGGCTGAGAGGTTTGTGCAGACTTTCAAGTATACAATGGAGTCATCAGCTGACGATCCCGCAAGCTCCATACAGCGGCGGCTTCAGAATTTCCTCTTATCTTACAGAAGCACACCACACGCTACAACCGGCTCATCCTCCGGCAAGCTATTCTTACAGTGAGAACTTCGTACTTGATTGTCTCTGGTTACGCCTGATATTGGCTCTCACGTGGCTAGCCAGCAAGACAAAATGAAGTGCAATCATGACAAGTTTGCAAAATACAGGAAGATAGCTGTAGGAGACTGTGTTCTCGCCCGTGACAACCTATCGGGACAGAAGTGGCAAGCTGGTACTGTCGTACAGCAAACATCACCTGCTTCTTTTTAAGTCCAGTTGAACGACGGACGGAATTGGAGGAGATATGTTGACGATGTACTTCAAAACACCCCTAGTTCTGCTGTGACTCAATCCAGCTCTGTCGAAGTTACATCTGATCAATCTACTGAAGGCGTTACTTCAGTGGAGTCACCAAGCACACCTACTCCTCCCACCCCTGCTCCGCGTCGGTCCAAACGTGCTACTAAACCACCACAGAGACTGATTGAAGAAATGGACTAAAACCATTAAGTCTCGCCTTAATGACATTGAACAGTGCTTCTAATAGTTTTGTTCCTTTTCTTGAACTTTTGATCATTTAGAGAGTTTCAACAGTTGTCTTCTACTTTAATTTCTTGTCAGGCACAACATTTCTGCGGGGAGGTGTTATAGTGTATCATTACATTTGTTATAGTGTCAGTAATTCATACTGAGCCCGCAATATGTATGCGGTTACTGTAAAACCCATGTGCTCCTTGATTAATACAGTTCTTCAGTTGATCCGCCATCTTCCGTGCAGTTGTCTGTTTGCCCGTGAACATAACACGAGGTTCAACTTTTGCGCTTACGAGCGACCTTTCATGCATTGAATCTATTTTATTGCGATCGTAAATTTTACCCACTTACGCACGTAAAAATTACTCGACACTGGAAATCAACCCTTAAGGTCCCTATAGAGAGAAATAGGGGTGAAGTTACATTAAGGAAGAAAGATGATGTGAAAATAAACTGGAATGTGTCATTTGTTAAGAAGCACCAGGAGAAACCCTCCGAGGATGCAAACATTAACATGGATATTCAAGCTGGGGTTTAGGGGCAGGGCGTAGACCAGAAAGAAGGAAGCACAGGGGAACAGAAATTCAGGAACGCTGCTTCTTCTGTAGCGCCACTTCAGCAAATTGCTAGCCCGATTCCAGTCCAGCAGACAGTTACCCCAAGTTCAATTATGCTAAGACCAAGCCCGAGAGCAACTCAATGATTGGACTTCCTAAACGATTGGTGATTGTGGTTGTCAAAGATATGACTAAACTCTGTTTTTGGCCGAGCTTCTTAAAGCTGAGCTAAACTTGATACCCATCATCATCATCATCATCATCTCGATTAGGTTGGTAAAAGCCGGTTAGGCAACACACGAACCACTTACAAAATTTGAAAGTATAAATTACATGCAACAATAAATAGAAAAAACAACAATAAATAGAAAACTAGGGTAGTTCTGAAATTCTTCAAGGGACGAAATACGAGGCATATCGGAGGAGTTGATTCCAGTGTCTAGTGGTTTTTATCCAGTATTTAGGTTTTCATTCTCGTTTTACTTCGGACATTTCGTAATGCTCTTATTTACTGGAAGTATTCATACAAGACACTCCAAAATACCATGAGTGCTCGGTTACTGGTGTTGTGATGCTTTGAGACTTGAGAAACTCGTGTTGAATGTAGGTTTTGTTTTCTTTTTGAAATCCTGTAGCGATTAAGCACTAAAATACAGAACCAAGAGAGAATTCTCTCCCGACAGATCTTTACAGATGGGTCTTCAAGACTCATCTCAAACGCCTTGGAGGTTTCGAGATCGGATCAAAATTTTCCGAGATCTAACAACCTGTTGCCATCCTTACAAACCCTAATCGACTACAACTTACTGAGAGTGACTTCTTTGGGCTAAAGCTAAGAACTTGAACATGAATTTTCAGATTCAAGTTGAATCCGTATATGAGCACAGATACATATTTGTGTCAGTTGAAGAGCTTCTCAAAAATATATAGCACGCAAGTTTGAAAAAAAAAAAAACAAAGCGGAACTTAGTGGTCAGAGGTAAGAGCCACCAATTTGCGTTGAAGCGTGTTCCAAGAATTAATCAAAACGGGAAAGGGTTGACTCAAGAGTGCAGCACATGTGGCTGCTCCGAGCAATATGCTCCCGTCAGAACGAATTCCCACGTTGAAAAAATGAAATGATACAGGTGTAGAAGGCTTTTATAAAGTGTAAATTACAAAAGATCTGTTTCAACCGAAAGGTACCAATTTAGACCCGCAGGTCAAAGTCATATTCAGCCTCTATTTTTTGGAGCCATTTGAGCACCATTTAGACCTAAACCGACCTGACTGTATTGCCCCTGATTGAGGTAGACAAATTAAGCCCAAAATGAAATATGACTGTATTTGACTGATGGCGATAACTGTGGGAATGCGACGTCAGCTGTCTATGGCAGGGGTGGTGAGATGGACGAGACAGTGGACTCTGTTGAAATGGTCAAAGGGAGCTGAGCCGTAGCGCATCATGCGACTAATTTGAGGCAGGCCGGTCCCGAACTCCCTTTATAGGTAATTATGTAGAAAGAATATTTCTTAAATTATGATAAGGATAAAAGTTATTTGTATGTTGGTGTCCGATAATTTTTATCATGCAAAATGAACAAAAAGTACAAAAGCAATACTAAATTGTAAGTTAACAGAAAGTAAACAAATGAAAATTCATGTTTAAAATGCTATTTATTTTAATTATTTTGTTGCAAACCAGGTTTGAAACTTTGTCTCAAACTGAACACTAACTTCCTGTAACAAAACTAAAGCACACAATAAAGGAAACAAAAAAACAAAAGAAATGAATTTTAAGATCATTTAGATCTGTCGATTCCTCGACATTTTGCTGTAAAAGGGATGCCAATATGTTGACAAATTATGCTTCGAGCACCACAAAAACAGCATAGGAGATCGCAATCAGGAGTAAAGAATAGAGCGAGTGGACAGACAAAGACAACGCTCCACTTTTGCTCGTAGGCCTCCCTCCTCTGTTCACGTGCTTCTCACATGATTTCTGCTTGCTCTCACTGAGACACAAAGCGTAATCCATCACGTGAAATACGTACTGCTGTTCCACTACACCATGGAATAGGTAGGCCCCAGGACCGTCCGCGAATACGCCTGCAAAAAAGAAGAAAAAACAAAATGATAGTAATCACCCTCTTGCGACCCAATCTCTGGATTTATGAAAACATGGCTTCACTGAGTGTCTAAAGGTCCTATGCTAAGTGTATCCTTGGTACCAAGACTTTGACCCTCCTCACCCAGGACAATGGGTGACTGTCTGCACCTCCCTCTGAGCTCTATAATTATCATGATAATCATTCTCAGCAGAGGCCTGATTCAGCTGGAGCTAGCTGGCTAGGGCAAATTAACACCAAGGTACTTGCCAGTCAAAGCCTCCACTGAACACTGCTGATTACTGAAAGGGGTTGTGTCAAAACAGCCCCCTCCCTACCCCACCAGTTTTGACCCCAAGGCCTGATCCACCCACCCACTGTTAGAGCAGTCCCTGGGCTATCCAGCTGTACCGACCAAGACCCCAAGCCCCCTACTTTTTGGACGCCGGGCTCGCCTGTGAGAGGTCCTCTCTCGATTTATCTTGGCAGGCAAAGTAACCTTGTAGAAGGAATTAAAACAAGACGATAACATGATCTGTTACAGCCTTAAGTTTTAATTGGAGCAGAGAATAATCGGACAGTGAGGGAGAACGCCCAGTCTAGCCCTTAGGATATGTGCAGACTACTCAGGAATTAGACTTCCTTAAAACTGCAGACGCTGGAAATAACTTAAGTGAAAAGCACATATCTCACCCAAACCCCTTCGATTCCCTACAATAACGAGTTTTAGCACGAGACTAGAATGAGTGATGCTGCCGCTAATGTGTTGATAAAGACACTGCTCATTATATTCTCTTGACTGCTGCGGAAAAATCATCAATATCCATGAAATAGCGAGTTTTAGCACGAGACTACAATAAGCAATGCTGCCGCTAATGTGTTGATAAAGACACTGCTCTAAGCGTAGTTCTAAGTTTGGGCCAATTCTCACCAACATCTTCTGATCCATGAGTCTCGCTTCTGGTAAGAACTGTAGCCTGCTGAAGAAAGTCCTTGTGAGAGGTGTTTACATTGCGCAGGTCTTGACGAGATCCGTTCAGTCCACCTGGTCCGTTTGCATACCCAAGGGTGGTGTATGTTCTGTTGTCTTTGTCAACAGCAAAGGTATTGTCTACCTCTTGTATTATGCCAAACACAGGGTTCCCACGTTTAGGATATCCGCCGATGGTAAAGACGTGAGAGTGGTCGGCTGTTACTGTTATCAACGTTTCGTCTGAAAATCCAGGTAATAGCCAATATGATTAGCAAATGTGCATTTTAACAGTATTGGACAAATTCTGAGATTGATGGAACTGGAGTTAAATGACACCATGCCCTGAAAGAGTAAAAACCTCCTAAATTCCGGCACCAAAGGGATAGACAGCATTATAAGCAGCCATTCATGCGAGGATTGTTTAATAACTCTCGGACGAATAGCCCGTGATACAAAACGTTATCGCTTTATCTAAGTGTGCGCGATGTTCAGTTTACATGCAAAGGTTTGTACTTGTCCCTAGCGCTAGGATCTTGCGAGCTGAGAGATCCTAGCAAGAGGAAGATACCTCCACTATAAACCCCTTTGCCAGGAAGATCCTAGTACTAGGGACAAATTAGACAACGATGGCGGCGGTTCGTTCAGTGGGTAAATCACGGCAATATACTGGGCCGACATTTTCGTTTGGCGTTACAAGCTGTAATGGACTGTCATCTGCCGCTGAAAAGTTGTTGTTCACCCAGGTAAGGAGAGCAGAAGGGCGAAGATTGCATGTTTGTTATTGTCTTCAATAACTTCTCTTCTTGGCAACAACACGTACCGAAATTTCTACATGTAAACCCGACGAAAAGCTGTTCGTTCTGATACAGCTGTAGGATCTTCCTCCCGGCTCAATGTGACCAGGCGGTCAGTCTGCATAGGTACGTTTGAGTAAGGGGCTTAAGGATTTGAAGTATGGAAAGCAAATCGGAGGTGTAAGAGGCCTTTCGTGATTGTCTGCTCAGTCTAAAGGAATGATACGTCACCACTGAATTGGAACAGTGGCCCACGGAGCTGCTAGGGGGTAGGAAAACTTTACAGAAATAGTGAATTTGCTCTGTTCCAACTCTGGTTGAATTCTAAAGCACTGCATGTATTCCATACATTTGGGTATTACTCATACGAAAACCAAAATTCAGATGCATTATATTTAATCAAGAACGCTTATCATAATGAGATTAGTTTACCTTTGTTTACTATTTCCAAGGTCCTAGCAACCGCTTTATCCATCGCAACTGCGTCATTAAGAGCTTTAACAGCTCTGCCAGCGTGATGTCCGTGATCAATGCGGCCCCCTTAAAACAGAACACAAGAAACATCCGGGCGTTCTTGAGAAACAAATTTTGTAGTGGAATTTCACTCAAATATATAGCTCATTTAGGCTACTAGCGATACTAAAAATCCTGTACAGCAATGTAAAATACTTTCTCTCCCTGAAAAAAGATTCTATAAAAGGCATAGAAAAAAATAAGGCTCACTAATATTGTAGCCAGATATCTCTTGACTTGCCAACTAACCTTCAACTAACAGGAAGAAACCTTTGGGGTTCTTCTGTAGTATTTTAATGGCTTTCTCGGTCATTTCTGCAATGGACGGTTCACCGGCCTTGTCAGAAGCTCGCTCAACTTCGTAGTTCATGTGAGAGGGTTCAAATAGGCCTTGAAAACAATGAAACAAGGTAGTAAGTAGAAGCCTTCACAAAACGACTTTCTTATCTGCACGTAGAATTTTTCCTTTACTTAAAAGTGACCTTATTTTGATTCAGCATATAACCTGCGAACTTCTTGACCTACACCACCATCTTGGAAATTGTGCATCCACAATGCATTGTAATTGTAGTGCGCACACCACCTGATTTTGATTCAGGAAATCTTTCCATTGTTTTGCAAATTTAATTCATGTGATCATAACTATAACAAAATTCTCAAATCTGATTGGCTATCAACTGCCCTGATTTCAGCCTTAATAGGACAGTTTAATAAAGGACAGTACGCATCATGCCTAAGTAATTGGACAGTGCGCGCCATCACGCGCGCGCTTAAATGGCTTGTGTTAAAGTTATGATAAATTGATAACAGAACTTCTTGTCGTCCAATTCGGTCTGTAATCATACTCTTGATTAAACGAATCAGACTCCCGCTACGCAGTCGTCTAATTTAATTTGTTAATCACTCGTCTGTCTCCACTCAGTCCTGTTGAGAGTTAACTCACATATGAAAAGCACAGAAGACAGTGCTATCAAAAGGCGATTACGTTGAACGTCGCTTCAGTGATTGTGCTTATCCTTCCACCCAGCTGGCCCATGAAAGGATTAGCTCAGTTCTTTAGTTTCTTTATTTTATCTTTTCTTTTATTCAGAGTGAAGCGCCTCGCCTCACGAGGCTTATAAATTTGTCGTGCGCCTCCAGCGTTGATCGCACAGCGAGGCAGAAACACCAGTGGCGAATATTTCTATAGATCTCTTAGGTGTCCGCAGCTGACGTCATCTAGTTGTGACGTCGGGTGCGCGTGGTGCAGTGATCAAGGCTCAATTTTCTGTGTTGTTTGCTTATGTGTGTGTTTCTTTTTTTTTTGGGGGGGGTGGTTAGCGATTTTAAAAGAACTGGCTGTAGACAGAATTTCTATCTAACCCCCCTCCCTCCCTCCTCTTTGTTTTTTTTTTGGTCCCTACCCACAATTCTCTCTTTAACACAGGTGACAGTTATTTGAATTCAGTGCACACCTAAAGCTGGTTTCGGTGCCGTTTATCGGTTTACATTTCGTTATTGGTCACCTTCAGAAAGGTTTCGCGGAGAGCATCATATGTGGTCGCGTGTGGTTGAGTTGTTGCACCAAAATATTCTGTGCCAGCCATAAAAACGTTTCGTCGATGTTTAGCTTACTTGATTGTGCCTTGGAAAACCAATTTCCCACTCAGGAAAATTGGATCTAGGTCTAGTTTCAGCGGGCTCTTGGCTTTGAACCATACGCCGGATTTTGCAGATAAGAAGGTGATTATTTGTGTATTATGTTTCGATCAGTTTGTTCTCTATTTCATGCAAAATCCTGTCGTTTATCGGACCGCGAAAAAAGTAGTGTTTTGCTGACTATTTAAGTTGTTATATAAGCCTTAACCAGGCACTTTTTGGCTCCAACTCACTTAACTTAAAAATTTCTAGACCGGTTTGAAACCTCACGGAGTCAGACTACTGAATAAATGTTCTAAAATTTGCGTCATTTTAAATTTGGTCTCGTTGAAATGTTGCAAGGGACAGCTAACTTACTGCCCGGCGTCAGATAAAGGCTTTTAATCGGTCTTTGAATGATTTTTTGTTATTTTAAAATTGCCTAGTAGTAGAATGAGTTGATTTGTTTTGCTAACCCGGTTTTCAAAACTGCAGGTATATATAAAAAATTTCATACCAATCACATGATCAACTTTGTCCACATCAATTTGATCAAACTCGTTTTTGTTCCAGACGTATTTCGAGTTCTGGAATTTATTGACCCACTCTGAAATCAGGTCTCTGCCGTCCAGTCTATCTCCCTTTTTATCAGGGTATTCAGGATCTGTCTGATTCTTATGCATGAGTTCCCTGCGGCCTCCACCAAATACAACTTCCATGCCATTTCCGTAGGGAAACTCCAGAAGTTGCAAGGCTGTAAATAAAAATATAAAAATAGTAATATAAAATACGAGAGGTCAAAAACTGTAAGTGAAATGCCGCGAGTAGATACATAATAATAAATACTACACCGTAAGATATGAATGCATTATCAATTGGCATACCAAGTAAATATAAATCTCAAACAGTAAACGTACTGCGGGATAATACAGACTATGAGTTATTTGAGATTGCACCAGAAAAATCATTTCTTTGTGTGTGCCCTGATTGATTTGTTGTTTGCTTTACTTTCGATAACCAAACTTACTACACTGGGCAGACGATTCGAGTTTGAATTGTTAAACTTCCTATTGTAAGCCCTGGTCCTGGCAAAAATGACCACAATATACCGAAGGCAAGGTAATTCAACGTTTATTTAACATTGATTTATATACGTAATTCGCGATGTATCGCTATAGGTGAAGCAAACGGTTAATCTAGTACATTTACTATAGAATATAAAAAATCGGTTACACACACAGATTGTGTGGGCTCCCTGTGGCTAAACAATGAAGTAAAAAATCATGGGCGCACTTTTTTGCTCTAATTCTTTTCTCCTTGATTTCTAGAGATCTACAAAAACTTCTTAGAACAAACAGCAGTGGAATAGCATAACTCATATACATGTATAATTATATGGTTGTTATTTAACGAGTGAAAACAAACGTGATTACATTAAAATACAACTTTATTAAGCAATACCTATGTCCTTGCACTTAGACCCATCATCCGTTACAGTCTTGCTTATATCACCGTCACTTTCCCAATTGCGGTTTGCTGAGTGAGCATACGCACACGCAGGAGTCGCGTGTGTAATTCGGGCGGTGGTCACGATTCTCGTTGACATTCCAGCCTTCTCAGCAAGCGTGAGAATGGAGGCGGCTTTGCTCTGTTCAGTTACCGAAGAGCACTGAAATCGTGTAACACTTGAACTTACACCGATGACGCCTGAGAAAACATAAGGCAAAATAGGAAGAAAAGCAGCGGTAAGGACAAAATGAACGTTATACATGGCCAAAGCAAGATCTCACTTTTCTTAGCTATCCTCGTGGGAGTTACGCGCTATTATAAACTCGCTACACGAAGGCCTTCGGCCTTTGTAAGGAATAAGACCTCTGGCAGAGATTTTGATTCCTTAATGACCCTTAATATTATAATGCATGTAAGGGAGCTTTTCACTTACAAATACCAGTATATCGAGGTAGCTATACATTGCATTATCTCGCACTCGGCGCAAGATTCGCGTTGCTGAGAGGACTTTGTTCCCAGGCGTTTTGGACTGT